GAGGAGGGCGACGCAGGGGTCACCGGCTGGGCTTGGACACCTGCATGAGGGGCAGCCGGCCAGGGCGGGGCCCGGGCTCTGCTGGGGCCTGGTCTCTGGGAAGAGGGGCCGTCAGCTCGGGGTCCAGTGGTCAGCTACAGCGCAAATTCCACAGACGGACTCCGCACTCGGGAGCCTTCTGCACCCCCACGCCATGCACGGCCCTCTCGGTGGCTGTTTGTCGCGTGGCCGCTCTGCTGTTCCCTCCTGCCCCGCCCTCGCACCCCGTGGGGGCCCTGTCCCTGCCGCTCTGTCCTGCCTGTCCAGTGCGCAGGCTCCTGGTCACCGGCCCCACCCGTGACCGCGTCCAGGGCCCGCAACCTGACGCTGACCGGTGTGGCCCGGCGCCTCCCGACAGCTCAGAAACCTCCTTTGCTCGGGGCCAGCGCCGCGGGCTCACCAGCAGCCTCAGCGTCCAGCAAGCGTGGCTGGCGTGGGCGCTGGCCGCGAGCCCGAGGCGATGCTTTTCCATGGTTCCATTACCAGCTGGCAGGGGACAAAACCCCAAGGAATTCCTCCCTGGTTGCGAAGCCACGAGACCACAGGGAGGGCCGGCTGCCCATCACACTCAACCCCGGGTGCCGGGCTCCCCACCAGCGACGGCTCTGGGCCGGGGCCCACTCGGATGGGAAGAATCCGCTCCAGGGCAGTATCTGATTACTGAAGTCACAATGGCGAGCGAGATTAAATTAAGTTCGACTCAGAATTTCAAAATCCTTAAGGTCTTTCCTAAAGACTGATTTGAACAAAGGGATCCAGCAAGCCTTCTCTTCCAAACTTATTAAGACGCTATTCTATTCCTGTCCTAACCTTGTTGTAACTGCAAAGAAATGCCAGCTATCTGGAATCCACTCAAGAGCACTAAAAACAAGCATCACCACCACCAGCTTCAGTAATGGGGAAAACAGCAGTGGACAGAAGGAAACTTCAGCGGGAGCCTCGTCCTGAGAGGCCAGGACGGAGCAGACACCGCGGCCCAGGACCCACCTCAGCCCGCCGTGAGCGCCGACTCTGGAGCAGGGGTCCACGGCCGCGCCTCTCCAGCTCACTCGCTGACTCTTGGACGTCAGCCTGGGCGGCCCGTCGCAGGGGTAAGCGCTTCGTCGGAAGTGGGCTCCATCGGGCGCTGGCGGAGCTGCTCGGGTGTCAGCGCACATACACCCGCTTCCTGGAAAGCCTCAGAGCCACCCGGGAGCGGGCAAGTCCTGGCTTTAAGTGATGGGCCGGGGAAGCTTGGACAGCTGTCTGAGCGGCTGAAGGGAGCGTGGTGGGGTCTCCGTAACAGTGCAGATTTCACTTCACACAGGTGTGCTCAGTGCGCCATCCCGGAGGCTGCCGGGGAGCTGGGGCGCCCCCAGGGTGCCCCACACCGTGCTGTGAGCGTGCCCGACAGCGAGGAGAGCAGACCCGTCTGGACACCCGCTGCGCACCCGTCCCCAGGGCCGAGGGAGGGAGGATGAGCGTGGGCGGCACACCTACTTCCACGCGTACCTGTGACAGGAGACACTTCTCCG